GATTTATTTGAAAGAATTTTTAATTTATTTATTTTTTTTTAATGTCTTTTTTACAATTGTATTTTTAATTACAATTATGTATATTAAATATTTTTTGTATTATTTATTATAATCTTTATTTTGAAAATGTAAATTAAATATATTTATTTTATATAAAACTAATTTATTATTATTTAATTATTTAACATTTTTCCATGGTAGTAATTCATAATAAAATAACAATAGTTAATAATAACAAATTTAGTATATAATCAATACTAAATTTATTCATCTTTTAACATTAGTCTCATTTATTTAAATAATAATGTTTCATTTTAAATGAAAAACTTTCAAATAAGCTTTTTACATTGAATACAAATTTTCTAAAATTTCAATTCAAAATTTATATAAATATTTTCAATTTACATATATTTATTTTTTAAAAATTCAATTTAATTTCTTCAAAAGAAAATATAAGCTGTTAACTAATAAATTAATAATAGTCATTACTTAAATTGTAATTTTCTTTATTTAGAATTAAAGAATTTTTATTCCATTTTCCATTTAATTTAATTTTTTTTTTATTAATAACAAAAATATGTTCAAAATTAGATAAACTGTTTTCCAGTATTTTAGTTATAAAAAAAATCTTTATTATATAATATAAAGCAATCTGATAAAAATTTATATATATATATTAAGTGCCATAATCTATTTCCTTTCAGCTTAGTAGCCATCTGCATGTTTTTCTCCATTCTTTGTACAGATTTTAATTTTTTTTCCCATGTTCTTCTTTATAGCATCTTCCATATTGGTAAGTGGAAGTGTCAGTTGATGATGCTGCTTTAAGCCTCCAAATATTTCTAACTTATTTTGAGATATTGTGATAGAATATTCCAGTTATGATAATTTACTTTGGGCATTCTGAAAAAAATGTTTTAACTTGCACTATTATTTCAGGTGAATTGTGAAGATATTCTCTAAATAAAAGACTCAAAACACAGTTTTAAGGCTACTTTATATAATCCCTTTATTTATACTGAAAGAAATGTTTTTATTTTTTATATTAAAAATTAATTTATTAGACATCTTTCAAATTAAAGGATACCCATTAATTAAAACATTTTTTATTATTATTTTGAAAATTTATTTTACAAAAATATTCAAATTAATTTCTTAATTTTGTACAAGAAATTAATTTTTTTAATGTTAAATTATCAATTCTTAAATAATAATTTATTAAATATATTATATGAACTTCATATTCTTGTTTATACAACTAAATATAAGCCACTTCTTTCCTAGATACTTGAATAAAGTACAAATGCAGTTATCAACTCTCTCAAAATATGAATTATCAAATAGAGAATTCTTAATATTTTTATATAAAAAGAATTAAAGGAAATTCCATTATTGGATAAATTATTTTGTCATTAAAAATGTATTAATGGAACTTTAAGCTTTGTCTATTGAGTTTAATAACTTAATAGGCATAATATGACTTTAAAATAATTTAAATCTGTCCAAAATAATTTTTTAAATTTGACTGTTTCCTTTGGTATAAAGATTGCCAGGCATAAGATACTTGTCCTTCCACTTTAAAATAATTTAAATCTCTCCAAAATAATTTTTTAAATTTGACTGTTTCCTTTGGTATAAAGATTGCCAGGCATAAGATACTTGTCCTTCCTCTTTGAAATTAATACAATGGCCACTCTTTACAGATTTGAATATTTTGAGAGCTTCTAGTGTCCAGTTTTTTAGGTCTCAATATGAGTATTATAAGGAGTTATCCATGCCAATATTTATCATAAACCATCACACCTTCCTTTATACCAGTGAATTCATACAACCCATATATCTACAAAATAGCTGCCTTTCGCACCTTAACCAAACGTGCTTTTACCCACTGCACAAATTACGACGACACGTTAAAAGAACTTAAACATCTGGAGGACATAGTTGAAAAACATGGTTACAAAAAGAACCTTATTCATAAATTAGCAAATGCCTATTCCAACAGGGATACTCCTACACCCAATAATGTGTTGCGAAGTGGGAACACTCACAACATGCACCACAGTTCTAGATTATAACCGCAACATGAAAAGCTTATATAAAGAAATTGCCTGTCACAGAGGTGATAAATTAGCTTATAGGCATGTTCCCACTATCTATAACATCCTCAGAAATGGAAAGGACAACACCGACATGCTTAGGGTTCCTGGCGTTTATAAGATTACGCTGACAGACAATAGATTCCAGCATGATCTTGAATACATCAGAGCGACCACACAATCTCTCAAAGTAAGGCTGGCTGAACACAAGTATAATATCAGTAAAGGAAAATACAACACTGCCCTAGCGAGGTATGCCGCAGACAACAACGTTCAAGCCCATCTAGACCAAGCTTTCATCATAAGACAATCTAATCATGATGACCAAATAAGGACGCTGGAAACTCTCAAAATATTCAAATCTGTAAAGAGCAGCCATCGCATTAATTTCAAAGAGGAAAGACAGGTATCTTATGCCTGGCAATCGTTTTACCAAAGGTAACAATCAAATACAAAAAATTATTTTGGAGAGATTTAAATTTGATTTAATCGATTTAAATTATTTTAAAATATTTTTTAAGAGAATTAGTTTAAAAAATTCTCATTTATACGTTTTTTAAATAATTCTTAAAAGTTCCATTTCCACATTCCAGTTTAAAGAATCCTGAGGAAGATCTTTGAAGATCGAAAACATTAGAATTTGCAATAGATTATCGTGGAATTTCTTTTAAGGTTCAATTCATTGCTATTTTGTAAGACATATTCCAGGTTTGCAGAGTTTGAGCTATAAACTTTAGTTAATTTATCTTATTACAATTTATTATTTTAGAGGCTTTGAATTTTATAACACCAACCTTTATTTTAAATTTTGATAAAAGTTTTTGACGCATGGTTCCTTTAGGCGGTGCTGACTGAAGCAATTTTTCTACATATTCGTTGTATTTTGTAAGACCTTCGAATGGCATGGAACCATGAGGCACAGTCCAACTTCGTTCGGCATCCGGTCCAAAATACTGTACGTGATATATCCTGTGCAATTTTTTCCCCGATCCTAGAAATATATCTCAAAATTAATTGCAATAATATTAAATTAAAACGTAAAAAAACCTATTTTATAAACAAAGCTTGCCAAATGAACATGCATTTTTTAAAACCAAACACTGATTTACAAGAATTATAATAGATTTATATTATTGATAGAACTGAAAAGTTATGTATGCTACTAATTGCTTATTATTTAAATAATTTATATCCATGAAAACAGATCATTCTTTAAAATAATTTACAATTTAATAAACTTCAAATAAAAAGTAAATAAAATTTAATTAAATTTAAAATACTTTAAATAAATAATACAAACTTCTAATTTAACTACATTTCACTTGTTGTATCCCCAAATACTTCTCAAAATTTTTAATTTACATTAACTGTATATAACTGTTGAACTAATCAGTCAGAATTTAATACTGTAAATTTGTTTTAAAAATACCCATGCTGAATTTCTTAGATCTTAACCACTCTGCAGTAATCGACAGATATACCCGTCAAGGGTGATCACATGGCACTGGAGAATGGCAGCTATATCTGCAAAATTTTTTGCGGATATCGACAAAAACTAGCCAAAAATTACCACAAAAAAAATTCACATAAAAAAGGAATTATGTGACAATAAAAAAAGATTTTTCTTTACTAGACATAACTGTTTAAAAAATTTTTTTCCAAAACAGAAATGAGAAAAATGTGCGGAAAAATTCTTTAAAAATTTTCCAAGTTTATTCTCCACTACATCGAAATAGTGCCATATCTGACTAACCCTCTCTACAAAGGTTATATATCCTTTCAACTACTTAACAAAAACATTCAAATGTAAATTAGAAATTTTCATAAACTATCTTTAGATGTGAAAGTTAACCAAAAAAACTGGATGAGATTACTATAAAAATGCTCAAAAAACTAATAATCCATTTGAACCAATAATTAACAAGTTTCATTATACAGTGGTATTTCGGTATACGTCTGCTTTAGAATATGTCCAATTCAGAATACGTCCTGTTTGGATGAAACAAATTTTGCTTGGTATAAGACTTAATTCAATTATATGCACCATCTATGAACAAGTAACACTATTGGTACAGTGACCATATTTTTTAGGGGAAAATAAAGGACATATCAAAGAAAATCAAAAAATACCTTATAAAATTCATAAGTTTATAACATTTATTACGAAAATAGTAGCATACAACAATGCATACATTAAAATTTTAAACAATCTGAATTATTACACATACACACATTGTAAAAATTTAAATAATATTAATTTTGATACTTTTCAGTAGAATTATTTTTTTATTATAGTGCCGTTTCACGCTTTAAAGTCATAAAATTCCATACAGTTCATTTGAAAGTTGTATTTGATGGAAATACATGCTTCTAATGTGCTTACTTTTAAATCAGTTTTTTCATTCGTCCACATATTATTCACCAATGAAA